TTCCATCCTGTTGAAAATACTTGTGCTATTGAATATTGGTTAAAGCTTCAACCATCGGATCCATGATTTGAATCAGCATTGGAACTATGCTTTTAAAAGTTTCAACTCTTGGACCATCAATAATTATCAGGAAAATTGTTCAAAAAATCCTAAACCTACTGTACAGCGGTCAATTTAGTCCTAAACCTTTCAATTATGCCAATTTAGTCCTAAACCTTTTAACAACTTGTCAATTTAGTCATAAATTTTTCAATTAAGCCAATTGGGTCATTAACCTTTTAACAATTTGTCAATATAGTCCTTTCGGCCAATTATCTTTTGGGACTAATTTGGCAAAATTTCAAAAGGTTTATGATTAAATTGGCACAATTGAAAGGTTTAGGATTGAATTAACTATTGTACAATAGGTTTAAAACTTTGTGGACAGTTATACCATAATTACCACCAAGTCTGCCACATCCTAACTAAACTCTTAATCACTCAGCCAATCCCTAGAAAATCACACACGCTAATCTTAGTTTAAGATACTTGTATCATTTGTGCTGCTTGCATACATGGACAAATTAAATGATGTTGAGTAATTCGATCTCATAAGGGAGTGTAAACTAGATCCAATTAATGGACGGGCAAAGCCTAATACGTGCCACAACCTGATATTTTAATACCCTAAAAATCTCGTATAAGATGAAGAGCTTGTATTGTATGGACCCACCACCATATTTACCGATTAAGTCTTTGCGATGCCCGACGCCAGTTGATCGGGCTAGGTCTACAAACACGCCGACGTGTGCATCTCAACATCCTTATTATTAAGATCCAACTTATAAGTTCGATCAAAATGGATTCAAAGAGAGCGAAAGTATTGGTCGGTTCTTCAGTGAAGGAGATCATAAACATATTGGGATCATATTCATCATCATATCTTTATAATAACATACCAACGTGCGACTTCTCATTTTCGTGGGTTATATTCATCATCATCATATCTTTATAATAACATTTCGATTATCCACCTTTCATGGCGGTGCTGCGTTGTGTTCTGCGGGGAAAGCATTTTATGCAACTGAATAAAGAGAACCAATTTATTAACAACCACTTTGGTGTTGAATATAGTAAAGTAGGTCAACAAAATCGTTTTTTTTTTTTTACATTTGTTATTTTAATCGTTTTTTAAAACTTTTTTAACAGTCTGCTTGGCAAAATCTTTTATGCATATTAATTAGAATTTGTGGCCATTGCATGCATTTGCTCTCTGCCATGGGCGGCGTCAACCTCTTCTCCAATTTGTGGTGCTCTTAAACCAAATCGGACCCCTACAAACACTTAATAATTAGCATTTTAATTAGTGGTTCGGACTCTTTCGTTGTAATCTCTATTATATTCTATCCATACGATATTTTGTGTGTTATATCCATAAAACTTTAATATCGTTGTCTGTCAGATAAGTATGCATACACAGTAGGCATGAATTTTCACCGATAAAAATCATACTCCTATAATTAATGTTGATGTGTGCTTATTAAGAACTTGGTTCCGATTTCACTATCGGTCGAAAAATCACATTGCATTCACTCACGTCAATCTGTGTACACGAAATGTCATGCAGGCGTGCGAAACAAAAAGCTAAAGGTTAAATACAAATGAATGATTGTTGTGAATTGAGAACAATGTCATGGAAATGTGAGTACTGAGTACACGATTGATTACCACTGTAATTAAAGGGTCGTGGTATCATTAACATATTATAAAAGATAATTAGTCCGCCCTTTTTCTGCCTTCTGTGCATAATGGGTATATATATAACGTATGGTCTTCTCTTTCTGAAAAATCCACAAAAAAAGTCCCCGAAGGCTTACAAGAACTCGAGCAGCCACGTATGTGCGTAACTTTTTTTTTTTTTTCGGTTGACTTCATTCTTACAAGGTATTATTATTACCTAGGAAAACTGGTGAGTAAGACCGCGAGTTTAAAGGACCACTTAGGCACTTACTCCACGTGATATTCATCACCAATTGAAGTAATTTTACCGAGTGGGTCCATTCGATCAATTTTAACCTGTTATTGCTGACATGGACGCCAACCGTAACATGACATGGCCGGTGCTAAAGAGAATAATTTTTACAATTTTTTAAAATAAATTCGAATTATAATAATTTTTGCAAGCTTTTTCCGTTGGTGACTGGCCAAAGGCAAGGGCCAACCTTGCTGGTGAGCTCGAGCCTCAACTAGCAAGTCTTGCTCGAGGCCGGCGAGGTTTTACGTTGCCAAATCCCTGTGAGCTTGAGCATCGCTAGATTCGGTGAGGCCGGCCCTCGCCATATTCGGTGAGGGTGACCCTCGCCTCTAGCTGGTTGCCGGCCGTGGCAATCGGCGGAGGAAGAAGGAAAAAGAAAAAGAAAAAGAAAAATAAAGGAAAGAAAAAATAAAATTATTTAAAAAAATTGGAATTAAAAAAAATTGTAAAAATTATATACGTCAGTACCAGCTGTAACACATAGGACGCACGGCGTCCACGTCAATAATTTCTAATCAAAATTAGCCATATGGACTTAATTGGCAAAATGTGAAAATATTTATGGCTCAATTGCACAATTAAAATGTTTATGACTAAATTGACAAGAATACAATAGGTCTAAGACTTCTTTGATAATTCCCCCCCCCATATAAACACTAAATAAATTATTAGACTAAAATGGAAATCCACTACGGTACAGACATATTTGTATCACTTTGACGGAGTTATTCCGACAGTGACGCGTACGAAATCAATGGCACGGCACGAATGACCCATCTACGTCAATCGGGCAATTTGACAAAAGCGACCAGACGTCATGGCCATTTGGACGGCCAGGAGTAGCAAACCCAAGTTTGGATCCAATTTTTCAGGTACTCAAATTTAGAAGCCCTCTTTCTGTCCTATCTCTATCAAATGACCACAGAAGCCGAAAAAAGAAGAAGAAAAAGCCATTTTTCAGGTACTAAAGGGTAGTAGGATCAGTTCAGAATCCAATTCAAAAAGGGCAACACCGACACCTGAAAGTAGACGGTGGGACGCGTCCAACGCGACTCTTTCCCTCTGACTTGGCCGGAGAACCCATGTTTTCTTGGGCTTGAAACTGCGTGTTTGGACTGAACAGCTCTCATTTCCCCCCTTTGCTGCTGCATCATAATAAATATGGATCATGTGAGTGAGGATCTGGCCGGAATAATTCACTGTACCCTTCTTTTTTTTTAAATCTTAGTGAAGATTTGTTGGCTAGAAATTCTATTAGTATAAAGAATCACGATTTCAAGGAAAAGATCGTGCAAGAGGTATAGTTTTTGGAAGAAGTACGTCATATGCGAAGACCATGATTCGCATTCGGGGTGCATTTGTTTGGGTGAAATGATTTTCCGCTAATCAGTTTTATGTACCTTCGCACGTCTGGTTTGCCGAAAGATGATCAGTCGATGGAAAACCATTTACGGTCAAATAAAATATGTATACTTGAAGTTAGGAAAATGAATTTCCTAACCTAAAAAGAGGAAAACACTTTCCTAGAAAATGATTTCCATGAAACAACTTTACTTTATCATGAAGTTTTCTCCGTAACAAACACACGCTTAGTCCCTAATAATTATGGGAATTGTATACTTATGATTAATGAGATGGGTGGTTAGATCTCTACCTTTAGATCAAAAGGGAATCAACGTTTGAGAAAACATGTGCTCGTGTTTAAATAGGGATGCTCTCTCCTCATATATTGACCGTAACATTAACATGTCAAATTTAGTAGCTTCCTACATGAAACACATTGGTAGTGCGGTGCATTATTTTAGTAGATTTTTTTATCTTGTATGAGATTTCTCCGGCATTCCCTTTGTTTAGGTATTTAAGCAATGAATATAAGTGCTTTATAAGTAAAATATTTATACTTTTATAATTTATACATTGCCTCACATGCTTCAGCATTAGGAGGTCATTTTGGCAGGAGAGGCTCTTATCAAGGGACAAGCAACTGTTGTTTTGGCCAAAGAAATGATTTTTGGGGGGACTAAAGAAATTTCCACATTTCTTGGATCCTATTGAGCCACTTTGACTCTGGCTCTTCTAATCTTTCAACAAGCTCGCATATATGAACATGATGAACATGGAATTTATTTGATTTGTCTTAAAATTTCTAGAATTATAATCACCATTTTATATGATTTATCATAAAATTGCAAACCATGAATTTGAATTTTTATTTTACTGAAGAGAGTGATTGGACATTTCAATCTAAGCAATGTGATAGTTATTTTCCTCTTATCTTATTATAGTATTGATAACTATCACATTATAGCATTTTTTCCAAGTGTAGCACATGACTGTTTGAGCAATTAAGCAGCACACCCCTAATTTTTCTCGGGTGCATTGGGACTATTAAACAAGTTTTATGACGGAAAACCGAGATAAGTGTTTGGAAAGAAAAATCTTCCATATGATCCGAGTGACTAGTAAACTGAGTCCATAATGGCACAAAGATATGGACTGTCTAAAAGTTACATAAACGTGATTTCTTGCCTGTTGATACAGAAAAGCATAAGGGCATAAGTTAAATGCACATTAGATGACCCAATTTTGATTATCTTAAGATACTTAGACCCGGCTATGCAATTAACACGCTCCCAAGGCATTCTTCAGTCAAGTTCTATTCAAAGTTCAAAACATGCTGAGAACTCAGTTTAACTAGTCCAGGCTCAATGAGTTCATTCTCCATGGAGATAGAAAAAGATCTGCCATTTCACCAATTCACTTCCTAAATGGGGAACTATTGACCATAGCGGCTCTTTCACACATCCAAAGTCCACACAAAGGTCCATTTGACACCTCAAGAAAAAAACACTTGACAAACTATACCGGTGATCGACAGGGTTTTCACCCTTTTGTGAGATACGCATGCTTTACTCTATCTTAAACTTAATCTCAAGATTTCCTACTGAAAAGTACCTTCGGGAACATCAAAATGGCACGACGAGAATGCTGAAATTAAACTTAAACCATTAAAACTAGAGATGTACAAAGATACTCTGCTTTTTAATATGAACAAAGTGAATACCACCACAAACGAGTGGTCATGTTGGACTTGTGACTCCAAGCGGCTAAAGTTTACATTCTTGCCCCAGAATGCAGAACGAAGGAACTCCTATGCCCTTTTAGACTTGATGCAGACCTATCAGTTTGCTTCAGTGTTTAACTCAGGAGCACTACCTTAATAGTCAGCATGAACACCCAGGTTCCTGATGCAGTCAGCTCAATCCTTAGTAACATGTTAAAAGTTACTTTCTCGGGGATCAAATCACCATTGCCTCAAAGCATATTACTCCTCTGGAACATCATAAGTCAAATCACAACTCTCTTCTCATCTCTCGATTTGAGCTGACCAAGAAAAGAAGTCATTAAGTACATGAATGAATGAATGTAACTGCCATATCTCCCGATCATGATATAACAAAATAAACCAGTGATGTACCTGGCGCTCCTCAGATAGATGTCTACACAATCAACTGGCTTTAGCATTTCCATGCAGTCAAGACTCAGAAGTCATGGAACAGCATGATAGCATCATCAAGCTTCATCAGAGATGATTCGAGCAGCAACCTCACTGTTCTTAACCGGCTGTACCTCTTCTCAAGCGGCCCACTTCTTTTCTCAATGGGAAGATTCAGAAGCTGGAAGAAAGAATATCAAATTCACTGAAAAGTAATACCTCTCTCACTGCACAATAAAAGGAAAACCAAGCAAACGAAGTGCCTAATTGTTTGTTTTACTTTTTCCCTTCTTGGGTCTAGAGAGGCAAGGAAAGGTCGAGATGAGGCAGATGTCGCATGAGGAAGCAGATTGCGAGTAAACAGAGACAAATGATATATTAAGTTACATTGGAGATATGTCTAAATATATGCATGTGAAACCTCATTTTCTTTCTCCAGTTCGTAGGCCACCCTCAGGTTCAGATTCAACGCAGCATGGTACATCTCATCCAGTACATGTGGCCAAAGAGTAGATTTGTTTACTTTCCACAGCAAGAATTGCATTTGTCTAGGTGCAGTGACAACTACTTTCTGCAAGGATCAAATGTAATTTATAAGATGTACGCAAAGGACAAGAACCTTTGATTATGATTAAGAGTGGGAGTGAATATGCAAGAAACTTCCATGCTTTGAGAAAACTTACAACCAGACAAATATAAACTTCCCACTGCAGAAACTTTTTGACATCAAGCATTATCCATGAGTGTGGAAACCAAACAACATAAATGATACTTTTTTTACAAAGGAAATTACATGAATGCTGTGCGTAAGAGAATCTGATCACAAGAATTTTCAAGCATACCTCCATGTGCAAGAATTCGTCTTTCCAGAGCCTACAAAGAATTTTTGATATCTCCTTCTTATCCACAAATGCAGTATCGGAAATCTACAGAAAAGGAGCTGAGTAAAAATAATGTCTCAGTCCAAGCAATAACTTCTCAGACAAACATTTTCTTGAAGTACCAGTAGAAACACATAAGATCTCAACTACTCACATCAAGAACCTAAATCATTTGGCAATGATGCTTGCGTGAAAAGCTAAGGTCAACAGCATAACATGAGTGGGTCAAAACAGAAAATTGTTGATTTCTACTCTTACTGGCCTTCAAAATTTACGCAACACATGGTGACAATGCTCGGTACTCATGCATTCCAAAATTTTTTTTATAACCAAACTGGGAACTTTGATTACCATCATAGGTTTATAGTGATTGGGGACGAATAATTATAAACCAGGGGGTAGCCTAGCCATAATAACTAGAAGCAATAAGACCGTTAGAAAGGCATGTTCAGCATAAAGACTATCTATGTAATTAACTAAAAGAAAATGTTGACAACACAGCTCTAATGGTCAAGCCTGAAAATGATGGCTATTTTTACAAGACCAAAATCAGCGTGGTGGGAGCAGGGGGCCGGGGGCCAGTGGGTTTCTCAACACCAGGTCTAATGGTCAAGCCTGAAAATGATGGCTTCACAATGATGATCAAAAAGTGGAATATGGATATTAATCAAACGCGTTAAAAAAGTGAAGAACGCCCTGTGACCATTCATTAGTTGTTTTTTTTCAGTGAGGAGTCCCAAACAGCACCCAAAAAAAAAAAAGTACATGCAAGAGAAAAAAAAAGAATTTGGGGATTCTCATTTGCATTCTTGAAAGGCCACAGTTAAAAGTTGGCAAAACCTGAAAAATGACTAACCTTGTCAGTCTCAAGTAGCCGATTGGCCTTTGACAGCAACCTAAATATTCTGTAAGCTACCCGGCCGTATCTTTCCAAGACAACAGACTCTACCTGCAGTTCAACACCATACATATGCATCCAACTTGTACTTAGTCTTCATGATATAATATCTCAAGTACAGATAAAAGAGACAACAGACCTCCTCATTCTGAGCTTGTTCAATAATGTTCTTCAAATCTGGACAAGACATGGAGAGTAGTAAAATTTAGAAAACATGAAAATAATTGCTGAGGTAAAAAGAATGTGATGAAGACAAAACTCTTCGTGTGAAGGAGAAAAAAGCTAGAAGGACAGAGAGGCAACATTACCAATTTTATATGACTCGTCTGCCCCTCTTTCACAACCCAACATAACAAGAGATGCTCTAAGATGATCCAATGTCATAGAACGACCTGCTTCTCCTTTCATAACCTCTTCGTAAATGGTATTAATTGACAGCGGAACTGCAACATAAAATGCTACAATTAGTGAAGAGACATAATCTACCAATTAGTTCAAAGAACATCATCATCGAGTCACCGGCCAAGTCATTAACTTAACAAACAAGAACTTGTACTTTTCTATGCCAAAGCTCTTAGGATCCTTCAAAACCTCCAAAGAACATCAATTATTCTATTCCAAATTGCTGCAAAAACCATATTACCAGAATTATCTGTTTTCACTTTCTTCTCCATGCTCCTGGATGTCTCGAGCATTGCACTTAGGGCAACAGCAGCTCCACCATCCAACCGTTCCCGAACATTCTCAACACAAGCCTATAATAACAAAAAAACCCCGATTGGATGTAAACTTTGAATTAAACCACAGAAAGATAAGTTCAACTTACACTTGCACAGAGAGAGAGAGGGGTTCTGATACATGTAGAACTACTTTGTTCCCATTATTTGTCAAACGTAACTACCAAGAAAAGATAAGTCCTTGAGTATAATCATGACCCCAAGTCTGAACCATCCTCTAACAATGTGCATCAAGCTCCATTCAGTTTGGCACAACTGTCGTCAAAATTACTGACGAGTGACCAAAACCGGATCAACCTGGTCTTGGTTTTGACATTGCTCTATGCAAGGGCTAGTAGTATTCCCCTTTGAGCTGCAAGATTAAGCTTCGCTGGGGTTATGGGGCTCTGACCATGGAGCTAGTAGGTATACAGCATTACCTCAATCATTCATTTTCACTTTTTCACCTTTCTCACGGTCAAACATTGTAAAACAAAGTCCAGATAAATCTGGAGTGGTTACCTTAAAGATCATTTGTTGTGATAATCCTTTTCAGTCAAATGTCAAAAGTCAGATAGTGTTATTCTCCAATATATAATTTCCATAAAAGAGATAGTGAGAGCTTTGCTATTTGCTAAGCACCATGTCTTGCTAGAAACCATCTAATATCTAATTACTGTGACAGTCTACCTGAAAGGATGAATCATAAAGAAGTTAGTGAAGGCAAATACAAACCCTCACTCAATGATTGCATGGCAATCAAATCCGATCATTCATTGAAGATAATGATACAAATGGTCACTGAATTTTGACCCAATGTGCAATGTGATTTATGAACTTTTTCATACAGTCCAAAAACTAAATTGAACATGTATACAAAAATCCAGCAACCACTTTGAACAAATTATAAGTTTAGGGACGACATTGCACATTGGGCTAAAGTTCAGGAACCACATTGAACAAATTTAAAGTTTGGGGACCACATTACATATTAGGCCAAAGTTCAGGGACCATTTGTGTCATTTACCCTTCATTGAATTAGCATCATACACATCCTTGAGTCCCAAAAAATAAGTGAAGTACAATGTTCTTTGGTAGAACAAACTTTTATGCGGTCAACATGTTCCTGAAAATTTCAAGGAAGCTAATTATCTGGAGCCGGATAATTGGGGAAGGGGTAGTGAGAGCGCGTGCAAAGTAATTCCATTATAACTTATCGGTCCCAATGAAAACTCTAACTAGCAAAAGAGTTCAATCCTCTTATATGAAAGCAGTCTTTCCATCCCCTAATCTAAATGTAGTTGCAAAATATAAATGAAGAGATGACAAACCTTATGCCTAAAACGATGCATGAACTCCTGGACATTGACGCGCCAAAGAACTTGGTCGCCATCACTTCCAAGTTCTTTATCTGATTCCAAAGCATCACTCTTCCTCTATACATTGTTAATACATATAATTAATAATAAGGTAAAGCTGATGGGCTGTGCAATCTATATATGTACCAACCTTCTCACCAACACCAAGGAAAGAATCCTCCGTCTTCTGACCATCTTCTTCAGTAGTGGTATCAAAAAAAATTAGGAATCTTTTTGCTTCCATTGGAGCAGCTGCAGCAAGCACACGTTCTTCTATAGTCTCCGGCTCGATGGCCATCTATATGCATATATTCGTTATGGAGATGACAGACTACAAATTTCACTCCCAAATTGACTACTTAAGCGAAATGGTCCGATCAATGAATTAATGAGGTGATGGTACATGAGATAGAAAGCTAAGCACATCAGACAAGCATTTCTCATTTAGGTTGACTATGTAGATGAATCATTTTATGCTGACGCATTTAGACATAGGGAAATAAAAGAGCAAATATAAACCTTCAGTTTCTAATAACTAATGCAAATGCAGTAGGAAACTTACCATGTAAAAAGTCATATGTCATGGTTTCCAAAAAAGTAAGATTTGATCACATTTTCAAATACGGATGACGTATGAGAAAACCACTGAAACTTCAGAGTTCTCCTTACCCTTCAAATAAATCGTTCATGTGGTAGAAATATGCTCATTGCTAGCAGTTGATTTGCTGTGTCTGGAGAATGATTGTATGGATTTGCATGAACTTGTGCTTAACATCACATATAAACCAAGTTTCTAGTGCCACTGATAGTAAATTAAAAACATGTATTCATTGGAACAGAAGGCAAGAGTACCCAGCAATGGATATCTTTAGAGCAAGCACCTTAGAAGACTTGGTTCGCTTTCTTGCAGGAGCTTCTTCTTCACTTGGTGGAGAAAGATGTGGCTCAGGGTCAGGGCAGCGTTCAACAAATCGAGCATTTATGAGTTTAGAAAGGGTTTCCCGTGTAGCATCCTGAGCAGTAGAATCTTCTGAATGGACACACAGGTTTTCGTAAGTGGTATGATTTGAATAATCGAAACATGTGTTTTCTAACACAAAGCTTCTTCCCACTTTAAAAGTACAAAAATTACTTTAGCCTTCATACAGAAAAATTATCAGCAAGGGCTATTTCTTGTTTCACAACTTGAGTCCTAAGCACAAACAAAACGCACAAGACTTGCGAATGCGACCCAAACATTATACAAGTACGACAAAAAATACGAAGAGATACATGAAGTTAACATGACAAAAACATGAACTCAGAACTGATCTGTCATCATATTAGTCGATAGATCTTTTGCTAATGGCACAGATTATTGACTTGAACACAATGACATGACATAATTGCAACGACTAGCTATATCTAAATAGCAGAGCCTATCAAAGTCTCAATAAAAAAATACTATCCAAAGCAAACTGGCTCGTCACTTTTTAGTAACATCGTTTGCCTCGATTACTCAGCTTAGAACTTTGAGCCAATAGCACGTATTCAACCTCCAATTACAGTATGAATCAGACAGAAAATGGAGAACGAGCAGATAAAAGCGCCAATGCATGATAGATCTCAGTACTATACTCCTCCTATCGATTGCAAAACTTCTCACGAGACTTGCCTCGGCCACATTTAGCTCTGTCAATCATCTTTTCCAGTGTCAGCCTACCATGCTGGAGCAAACCTTGAAACAGTTCTACGCACTGCCCACAATCAAGAAAACAAACAAATCAACAATAAACACGGACCGACTTCACGAACTAGGAAACAATTCACGCCCAGACGAGAGCAGAAACCGACTTCTTTGTCAAGTTCCTGGGACACAACAGCCATGAACTTCGGGAACCTCATTCGATGATTTATATTATCAAACAATGCCATGTACTCGGTGCTACGTCTCGGCGCATCGCCAACACCACCTGGTCCGCGGCATCATGAACAGGAAAAAAAAAGAAAAAAAGAAATCAATCTAACAAGGCCACGGCTCACTCATCCAGTCGCGAAATTAAGATACGGCCGACCGATGCGAATCTACCTGGATGCTCGACGGAGAAGGCTTGAACGCAGTTCTGCTGGATCAAGACTAGCAAGCAGTTTTTGACTTGAGAAGCCGACACCTCCGTGAAGCGGGCGATGTTCTGGTGCGTCAACGGCCCTCGCCGGAGGAGACACTCGCACACCTTCTGCAAAACACGCGGAGCCTCACGATGTGAAGCGGAGAGAGAGAGAGAGAGAGAGAGAGAGAGAGGGGTAGGGATTACGGCGACGAGGTCGCCGAAGTGAGAGGAGATGATGTGGACGGCGTATTTGACGCCGTACTGCGACGGCGACGCCATTGTTCTGCCTCCTCTCGGCGGCTTCCGCTTCCGCTTCCGCTCCTGCTCCGAACTGCTGCGCTTGGGCACGCCGCGTATCCGGAGGAGGAGGAAGAAGAAGAAGATGCGAGGGTGTCACAAATGGGCCTGAAGGCCCAATAAGCTCCTTAAGGGGCCTGAGCTTGGTCATGATCGTGATGGTTTTGGGCCGGATAGTCAGGTACGAACTGGGCCATGTTGGGCCTTGGGATTCGGGGGATGATTCCAATCCGAGCGTCCTCGTAATCAAAGCCAGATCCAACGGTCGTGTCCGATTAATCAACGCGGGAAATTCTGTGAAAGAAATTCGCTTGTGAAGTTCAGAGCCTTCTTGAATAATGAGGTGTTCAATTATCTAGGAGATTTTCCCCTTGGCAGGAGCGTTTGCAAAGAAGGTCCGGCAAAATCTATGCACACACAACTTGCCTAAGTTCCCAAGCAGTTAACTTCGGAAGATGTCAAAACTTAACCCCGCCCACACACAGATGGGATTTGGATTCCACATGAAATAGGATTCTCATAAAGTGTCGAATTAAATTACCTATCAATAGTTAGTAGGGGTAAGCGGTTTTGGGGTTAGGTTTAGATTCCACCTGGAACCTACCTATCGAGATCGGTTCCCAGTTTTTGAAATCTAGAACCTACCATGTATACCCTAGAACCGACTGTGGAACGAAGTTGTGGTTCCAAGCGGTTCCATGATTGATTCTAGGGTCTATCCAAGGACCGATCAATTCCTTTTTTTTTTGTCTCATTTTTAGTCGAGCAAAATAAAAGATAAACCAACTATAAAAAATCCCCATCCATTTTTTCCATGACAAAGTCATAGCAGAGAGAGTCACTGCTGGAGAATTCTCTTTTCACCCTTGCACTTGTTAGTCGATGCAGATTTATCTTTTTGGTTTCAGAATAAATGTGCAAGCAATAAATGGTTTTTCTTGTTTGTGATGAGATACCTACTTAATATGTTGTAGTTATAGAATCGTAATTCGGTTTTGGTTAATTGAGGTGACTCTTGTTGTTCCTCAAAATTTGGAGCGACATGGTTTTTCCCCCTTCAAATGGTGCCCCGCTCTGGTTGTTTGGAAATTGCTCAAAAGGCTTCAAGGGGTTGGCCTTGGTTTTCGACCTAATATATGTTTGTGGTATTGAATGTGTCCATTGTGAAAGTTTTTTGCAATCTAATGAATGACTATTGGTGCAAGATTTGTAAGAGAAGTCCTGCAAGAAAAGCTATGAGGAATGGGTATAGCGTTAGCAGTGTTGCAGCTAAGAGAGAAGTGCTGCAAGAAAGGTTATCAGTACATTCGTCCATATAAATGGATCAGAATAACCTAATCACTATAAGAAAATACAACCAGGGCAAAGAGTGAAGAGAATTTAGGGTTACTTCCCGCAAAGAGATTTCACTATGTTTTTAGGTTACAACCCAACGAACTTCCTGATGAAAGAAAAAGATAAGAAAAGCAAAATATATATATGCCCCAAACGGCCCAAAACCTAAACCTATATGAAATCTCTTAATCTCGCACTATACGGCCAACCCAAACCCGTTGAGTGGGCGGAACCAGGGCAACCGGCACGAAGACGCGGCAGGGATCTGCACGCCCCCACACATTGTTTGGAATCGGGAATCGAGACCGGTTCTCATGGTCTATTCGGTCATATTCACGGTTCTACCGGGACCCATGCTCACCTCTAATAAAAAGTATTGAGATTCTTATTCCACATTCCTACCATGAAAAAACTATAGAATAAAAGAAAAACCAACTCCATCGCCACCGCTGCCATCATCATTGATTGGCACCGCTGGCCATCGTTTTTCGATTGGTGATACCCGATAGCTGTCATCGATCGTCAATTGCCACTCGCCAGCACTGATCATCAATTGCCGGTCGCCTCGTCGTTGAGAAGTATTCTTTCCTAAAGGCCAAAACTTTTATCGTTCAAAAAGGAATTTTAAAATTAAAAAATGATATTACGTGGAATGAGAATCTATTCGAGTATTCTCGTTCATGATATCAAAAGATGTTTCTAGTGATATGAACAGGATTGAGACTGTGAACTCAAACCCATCTCAAACACTAACATGATTCGTGCAACGTGATTGAAACCTACTATAATGCTAAATATTCATATCATGCATCATCTAATTAGGGTTTCGTCACAAAGAAAAATTTGTGATTACAATCCTATTCCTTATCTGAGCTTTTCGGCGCTTAGTACTGGTCAATCTCGCCATGTTAAGGACACCACGAATCTTAACATGTCAAAGAAGTGACATAAAAAAAGCGTCTGACTTGTGCATGCCATTTTTTAAACAAATCTGTAAGTACCATTACTTTTATATTTTGTACTTGATGTTATGTTCACACTGAGATTGGGCCGTTCTTATGCCGCGAGGCCGATGTTTATCTATGTTGGGATAGAATATGGACCTATGCTCTTCAGTAATCTCTTTGTATTGGCCAATAATTTGTTTTTGTCTTACTCTTCTCTTCTATGCACAAGTGTGCACGGGATTAAACTCTGGACCTGGTACTTTCCAGCCCCACCTCCCAATCCCTTTACCAGCAGGGTCCATGCCTACTGGCATATCGGCCAATAAATTTGACCTGCCAGTCACTCTAAACTTTCCTGTTGCAAGATTCTCCTCTCGCACCCTAGATATTTTTTTACCCGCACCTCAAGTCAAGCGCTGAGTCGACGGCACCCAAACTAAAAAATCTGAGGGCACAGCGAAAAGGAGATCAAAACCTAGACGCAATGTGTCGGAGGATTCAAAAGAAAAAGGAGAAAGAACATGAATAGGCATAAGCCAGTGAAAAGGTTGCAGAAGAGAAATGGAACTTCTGGTGCAAATGGAGCTGTTGCGATCCCTGGGTTTAAAAGAGAAGCCAACAGGGGCGACCCCAGGTGAACCGAATCAAGGGGACACATGGATGTGAGTGCATGGGGGACGTACCATAATGGGCACGCGCGTGGGATGTGACGTGCCAATGTGCCATCTCATATTTGTCTCAGCACATCACATGACCTTGTCTCTATGCGTGAACAGTCCACCATGTCTGTGACTTCAGATTTGAGAGGGCACCAGCTTACTTAACTTACATTGTTTATCACAAGATGGTTAGGTTATTATTTTTATGATGTTTGTGTAAAACTAGCCGTGAAGTATGTTGCTGTCATTTTCATTTACTTTCCACTGGATACACTGAGTTAAAACAGGTCGCTTGCACATGTTTGCTTCTGCCAATAGTTTTTTAGAACGGTCGAGTCTTTGTAGTTCCAATCATGCTATGTATGGAGTAAGAGTCGGATGCAAAGAGAGAGGACTTTTGCGGATTCAGAGATCAAACTCTCGAATTCCCCGCACTTGAAGCATATAGAAACGATCATTTTAACTTAATTATAATGCGTCTCGACATCTAAATAACAGTACTTCGTTGTTTCGCTTTGCAAAGGAAAAGGGAAGGTTCATTTTTCGCAACCTTTACTAGATTCCGTGTGCTAAATGTTTATTGGGACATAGATTGAGAGGTCCAACTCTCGAATTCCCCTCACTAGAAGTGTATAGGAATGATCATTTGAGCTTATTTATAACGCGTCTCGACACCTAGGTAATAGCAATTCACAGCTTCGCTTTGCAAAGGAAAAGGAAAAAAGGTTCATTTTTCTCGACCTTTACTAGATTCCGTGCGCCGATCGTTTATAGGGACGAACGGGCAACTAGCAAGCTGCACATTTAGCAAATAAGATTAAAATGGAGAGTGAATCTACACCCATCTGATTGGGAGGGTTAATCAATTCATAATTTGTGTGCCTCTTTCGGTTAATAAGCATTGATTCTCGATTAGTTTTGGGATGAGGATAAGATGGCATCCAAGCATTAAAGATAAAGATGATAAAGAGGGAAGTGGGGAAGAGAATAGGCATCGTTTTCGTGGGAATGGACTGGTGTCTTGCTCCTTCCTAGCAGCATTTGTTGTTTGATTGCAACCCTTAGCTTCCCCGACAATAACTCAGTCTCACCTTTAGCCATTTTGAGGCAAAAAGAGGAGGAGCTAGCGGTGGCTATCGCCCCATTAACCACCGAGTGCTTGGTGCAATTTCTATTTATGTTCATTGTATTCTTAAAAAAGTTTCACTTTACATCTCTATATCGAGCCTCCTAAGCTCAAATCTTTCCAAATTCCTTAACCCGTATCCCTCGAGTGAGAACTCAGAGTCTACCGTTGCTCTCTTTGTTCGCCCAATTTGTCCGACCATTGAAAAACTACTCTTTGTCCATGACTTATTTCGAAGTTAATCAATTAGAATTTGTTGTCGCAATAACTGATTTATACGCATAATTAGATTTGGCACCTATGGATCGGTTGAGCATATAAGTGCTATCAAATATATCGTTTATGTAGATAAGTATCGCAAGGAACATATCACTTCATTTTGGCATTATGTTGTCGAAGTTGCTAATTCATTTCGCCTTTTTTTCCTAAAAGTTTTACTGGACTTTAGGATAAAGCTCTTAGAGCAAATGATTATAAATTATTCAACAACAATTGAACAAAACCATGATTAACATATCTTAACTTATTTTAGATCACTTAAATATAAAAAAAGGAGTTTTTTTATGGGTGATCCGTTAGGATTGGGGGCACAAACACAACGAAATAGAGAGTAAAGTCGATAAAAAAAATCGAGACACAAGTTTTATCCTAATTCACCCTTAAGCTAGGACTACATCCAACAGATAATTCCACTATAATTAGCATATCTCACCTTTTTCTTTATATATATAGACATTCAGTAATTATTTATAGGCCCAAACTCAAACTAACATTAAAATATGGGCTCAAATTATAAAAGTCATTTGACATTGCGGGGGACAACCCTCACCAATGTAGCTCCCGAACCCTTGCCCGCTCACTAGGGAGCGGGACCCCCATACTTTCTTATCAATTGAAAGTATGAATCACACCCCAATATAATTTGGATCATCAAGAATCATGTAACAACAATAAAAGTTAAGTGGCCAAAGTTTAAGAATATATGACTGGTAATAATGAGTTGCACTTACATTGCTCAGCATATTGCTCTGAGCAAATCCTCACAACTCGATGCATGTCGACGAATTGTATGATGTGCGTCATATTTTGCCGTTCGATAATTGAGACGCATCCCGATTAGTGCCACGGAATACCTACCAAAAATTCCACTCGTTCGCGTGCGCTTTTTGGCAGTCGTGATGTGAAGTCCCTCTTGGAGCCATTCCAAAGGAAAGACACTTCATCTCATCTCAAACAGTTGGGAAACGTATGCTTTCAAGTAGCTCTCCCTCTCCCACTTGGCTTAGAAGATAAGCTGTGTGCGCGTTCGCTTTTTTCGAGGGCTAATAATGCTTCGGATGCCACTTTTCCTGCATTCTACTTCACAAATTTAATGCCATTGACGACTAAATTTGCCACGCATGCCGCAGAAAAATCGCCAAACCATCCCTCTCGGTCACGCCAGTTGCGTGAACCCCCAAGAATATATACGCACCGGCAGCATCGCCTAAGCAACCCCCAAAAAGAAAGATCCCTTTTTCTTCCTTTTTCATCTTCCTTTGGATCAAGAACCGAGCTCCCCTCATGCTTTTGGATCTCCAGAGCTCGTTCTTGATCAGCCCAGGACTTCAAAAAAAACCCCACGATGGCTTCCCTATGGCCGTTTCTTGAATCTTGATCTTGACCTAGTTCTATAGTTATACAGTAAGGTTTTGGTTAGTGCAGGTGGAGAGTTCCAAAGGGATCGCATTGATCTGATCATCGAAGATACCTGAATTCGAATCAAAAGGTTCGATCTTTTCTTTTTCTCAGTGCCCGTGGATCAGATCATGCGCTCCCTTCGGAATTCTCCATCAGATTGCTCTAAAATTTCACATGGCTGTGTGCTAAATGGTCTCTCTCTCTCCCCCTCCTCTCAAGGTACGCCTTACATGTTCCTGCACTAGACTAGTTGATTGTAAGTTGTCTCAAGAATGATTTTGCACATGATCCGAGGTTTTACGTATCAATCTCTTAATTTATCTTTTTGTGAGCTTATAAAGTACATGACTGATTGCTAGTCCTGGATTTTTTTTTTTACAGAGTTCGGGTTTCTTTCTTGTTTGATTAGCCCAGGAGTTGTGTAATATCCTCGTCAGTCAATCCGTAGATAGGTTTATAACTTTAAATGAGGATCGCAGACTTGATCTTCGCGTAATTTCGCAAGATGAAATAGTCCTAGGTAATTAATTACGGTCTTGTTCTTGCTATAAAACCCTAAACAGGTCATCGTGAATTTAGCTTTTATCTTTTCCTGCTGCCTCAATTCTTGTTAGATCATCAAGAAAAAGGTACCAGGGAGCTCTCTTTTATGCTGGAAATAGTAATTGACCGGAATAAGGCATGTGCTCTGCGAGATTATGATCACCAATTGTATCAACTCTGATCATTCAGTAATTTCAAATTTATAAGACTGACATATACGTACTGCATCGGATCATTCGCTGTTTTTAAATTAATCATATCATATACCAAGTTTGACAACATCATCGTCGCTATGTTCCTGCATCCTTCATGCCCTGATCTATCAATTTCCGAAGCTCCCTTTAGACTTTCGGAAGCTCTCTTTTGTTGATTAATCTCTCGAACTCTACTGAAAAAATTCGACTCTTTCATTTTAATCAACTGTGTGGCCATCGACAGAACGCAATCAATCAACCACAAGTACTGGTTCGCTTACGAAAAAGAAGGAAAAGATCATGCATAAGAGTCGCTACTGCGTGACCTTGACAGACCATATAAAACCAAGTTTTGCTTGGATGTATGTCATTGCATGCATGGTAGTCGTGGAGCACATGTAGGGATGAGGGAGACAAAGCAATTCCATGATATCTTGGGTTTGCAGAAAGCTTTGAGAGACATGTTATCCCCTTTATGTTCTCGGATCTGTCAACACAGTGTTGAAGATATTGTTCTCTATTGTTCTTAAAAAAAAAAAAAGAGAGAGAGAGAAAATTCTTCTTGCCATTTGTTCCGTCTACAATTCTGCGCTACTTTTTATTACCTTTGACCACGCATTGCACGTGCATCGATATTGTTGATATGAATGAACAAATTGTCTCTGCATATTTATGTTGTTTTGTGCAAATAATACGTGACATAATGTCTGTGCCCACACACATATAGCTATGCATATATACATGGGCCATGTGCAAATACATGTCTCTATGTGTGTATGTGTGCCTAGTTGGTGCGTCCAAGCATGTGCTCGCTCATATACCTTTTGGTTCGAGATTTATCGGGTGGACTAAGGCTAGAATTCATGGATTGTTATTTTCTAATTAGTTCTCACTTAGTATGCTGGTGATTAAGCCAAAAATGCATATGGTTTCGAAATCTCTCGGGATACATATGAATTCACATTTCTCATTCCATGTCAAATTAATTTAGTGTGTTTTGCCCATGTAATACTTTTCTCGTGGTCCTTGATGCATTAGAGGTTCAAACTAACAATGTAGAAAGCATTGGGCAAACACCTAGCTCTCACGTACTGACTTACTATCCGATCGGACCACGTGCACCATTTATGTCATGTGGTCTTCCACGATGCGAAGGTTCGACACCATAATACAGCTTTACTGATCAACCAAAACTCTAGTGTGTGGAATGCCTTTCTAGAAAGAGTTTAGATTTAAGAGTAGATTACTATTTTTTTTGTATTGTTTCACGATTTATTTCTCATTGCACGTGACCATTGAATGTTATAGTTTGATTTCATTCTATTAGTAGCTTCAAACGCATTTTCCTTGTTTATTTATCTGTAATAATTTTCTTTCATACACAATTAGCATAAAAAGGCACGCAAAAAGGTGTGTGCAAAAAATAGGATACTTTGGGTTTACTTTATACTATAGAGAGATCAAAGAAAATCGACAAGTTCTACGCTATTACTACATACTCGAATTCCCAGATTTCTTCTATTTAACAAATTACATAGTTTCAAATTGCAAAAGACATCCTTAAAATCAAGTGAATTTTTCACTCCAAAATCAGAGAGAGAATTAGTAAAGGGTACTGCCCTTCGAACATGACAGATCATAAAATCATCTCCCAGTGAAGCCGCCATTTGCATTTTATACTGTCGAATGGATGTTGCGGGATTTGAAAACTCATTTTATTCGGAATGAACATGAGATTGAATTTTGTGGATTGGATGTTCTTTCATTTCCTCATGCGGCATAGAAAGAGGATATCTTCACCTTTGTTCTTGGAAAGCGAAAAGAAAGCTTTCTGCCATGAGACCTAAATTTTTAAATTTTTTGGGCCAACCAAGTGACCCTAAATCAAAACAGATTGTAATCTAATCTGCCTAGTTTCATTGGGCAGTATGAGGAAAAATACCATTTGAAGATCCATTTCAACTCTACGGGCCAACTTCAGCAAATGAGGAGCCTGCAGTTTCAGAAACGTGGGCTATGGTATTTCTTGCTGTCTCTCGGGCCCGAAAGGCCTGGAGTGACCTATATGCTGCCGAATGGGGAGATTACGTGGTAAAGGTGAGCTCGATTGGGTTTTTTTTTTTTTTTTTTTTTTTCAATAATGAGGTGTCGGGGACTCTTTGAGGATTCGACTATTCGCCGCTAGATATGACATGCTTCATCATGTAAGTGACCTTGTTACTATGGCTCGAAGAGCGAATTTCTCGCGTTTGATTTTTTGCGGTAATCGATTCTCTAGGTCCATGGGTTGTTGGCTGACCTCACTCTAGCTACCACTTAGAAATAGGTCCGAAGCGTTTTGGAAATTTTTTTATTTTTGTTCTCATACTTTCACTATTTTTCTAGATGAGGCCATGTACATTCAATTTTTCTAATCAAGTCATTTCATTTAAATGAATTTTACAATCAGGCCCCTCCGACTCAATATCAGGCCAAATTCCATTGATGTCGCCCCGACAAATGATGCTAGAGTGTGACATGGAATAAAAACTTTCTACTTGGACACCCACTATAGGGCGACGATATTGAGTAGATTAATTTTTTATTGATTTGGTTTTTTATTCTCACGCCAATTAACTATGCATAGTGTGTGTTCATGTAAGTACCATTTGATCTACAATATATTCCGACGTCCTTCAATGGCAATATCAGCAAGATTTAGCTGAATTTGTTTACATCGAAAGGATTTGATTAGACATTTTATGTAAGTAGGATGATTTGATTGGAAAAATGATAGGTACAATGATTAGGTTAGAAAAGTAATAAAAATACAAGGACAAGAACTAGAATTTTTTCCAAGGGCTTTGGATGCATTCATATTTCATCTACGAATATTAAGGGCTTGTCTTAAGAAAAAAAATTTCAGTCTAAAAATGTTTGGTCGTGTGGTGACGATTATTTCCGTTTTTGATAACCACAAATAGAAGGGAAAATTATCAAAAACGGTCATGAACTTATTGTATTTGTATTAATTCGATCATAAACCTTTCAATGGTGCCAATTTATTCCTAAAACTTTTGACAATTTGCCAATGTAGTCCTTTTGATCAATTTTAGTCGGAAAACGCTGACATGGTCATCTAGTCAGTACCGACCATCCTATATGGCATACTGGTGTTGATGTGAACAATTTTTAATTTTTTTGTGAAATTTTTTTCCTTTTTAGGCAAGGTTGATCCTCGATAGCTACAAGCAAGGGCTTGGGTGGGTGAGGGTCGGCCTCATCTGGGTAGGGCGAGTGTCACCTTGGCCAGGCAAGGCCATCCCTCGCCTGTGGTCGGCGAGGGTGGCCTTGCTAGATCGAGCGAGCACGCCCAGATTTCTTCGGGCATCACCGGTGGCACATCGCCGGTGACCGACCACCGGCGAAAAGGCAAGGCTATCCCTCACCTGTGGCAGGCGAGGGCGACCCTCAATGGCCACAGATGAGGGCCGGACTCACTTGGGCGAGGGTTGGCCTCGCTTGGGTAGGCCGAGGGTCGCCTTGCTTAGGTGAGCCGTCCTTCACCTGTGGCCCTCACCCAGCCCTCTTCGAGCATCGCTGGTGGCCGGCCATCGCTTGAGATGGACCATCGACGAAAAGGGAAGAAAAAAATAGAAAAAGGAAAAATGAAAGAACAAAAGAAAAAAAATTTAGAAAATTTTCAAAAAATTGTCCACATCAGCGTCGATACGCCACACAGGACTATCGACATTGACTAGACCGCCACGTCATCATTTTCCGATCAAAATTAGCCAGAAAGACTACATTGGCCAATTGTCAAAAAGTTTAAAAATGAATTGACACAATTGAAAGGTTTATGACTAAATTGGCACAAATGTAATAGGTTTATGACTGTTTTGGTAATTTCCCCAAATGGAAACAAGAAATATATGTCTACGAAATGTGTAGTTTAAATGAACGAGAGATCTCCTGTTAATATGAAAACACGCATTTATAGTGCATTTGTTCCACGGAAAACTCAAGATTTGGACCCAAAAAATGATTGGTTATATTGCATAGAAAAATTAGTCAACGGAAAATGTTTTTGAGATCGAGAACAACTCATTCCTAACTATTTTCGTGGTTGATAAAACTAATTTTTTATTCATTTATTTTTGTAAGCGATACAATCGATTATTTTTCGGAAAATGTTCTCTAATTCTTGAGTTTAAGTTCAAACATAACACAATCATACATATATTTACAAACTTCATTCATCTTGAAAACCTTTATTTCCAAGAGTCAAATATGTTCAACAGAAAATAATTTTTTAAAATTTTATTTTCATTATTTCACGAGCCATATGTATTGCTGGCTACTCAACCATGCATTAACCATCGTTTGAGCTCTTGGCCCTTTGAAACAGGGTGATCGGATCCAGTGAGTCGATTTCAAATTTTTAGAATCAGGAATAGAATTGGTCGGCTGTGGTACCGCCAAGTCCTGGTTCCATCAGAGATCCGGCCCTCTTTTTTATTTTGTGTGAAAAATCTAACTCTCATAATAAAACGCAAAAGTTGCATTATTTCACTATAAAAACTTATGTTGATCAGGAGGTTATTTTAATTTGTTCATATTGAAAACGAGGAGCAAAAGTTAAAAAAAGAAGCCACAAAACCTGTTCGACGCAGGAAGTGAACCGATTCTCAGCCGGTTCTAGGTTCGGGGAACTAGGAACCGGACTGGTTCTCCCTAAAAGCGATCTTGAGCTAGTCAATTCAAGTCAGTTCAGTTTGGTTTCCGAATTGAACCTGACCCGATGCTTACCACTACTTTGAAATAAATAGTGGAGGAAAATCTGAGTATTATATCTTGCTTGTCAGTCAATTTAGCCTTATTTTCACGATCTTCTTGTAATGCTTCCAGTTCTATTGATGTCACCAAATCATCTTATATGCACAATATGAAAATCTTGACAACGTAGGGTCTTTACTCATGCTTTTACAATCTCTCACTCTATTTTAAATCGTTTAAATACTGAAACTATTAAATAGTCGCCTCCCATGCTTTTACAATCTCTCGCTCTTTCAAATATTCGATTTCACAAAGTTTCATATGATTATGATTACGGTAAGCGATCCCGAGCTCAAATTTATTCCATCTAATAACTTAACAGTTTAGATTAGTTAACATTGATCTCGCAAGATTGTACGCTCTCGCAAAATTGTACGCATCGTCTTCCGTCCATTTTGGTTTAGCATGTTGAAATGGACTCTAGAGACTTCGCATCACTTTCCCAATGACATCTATCCCGCCGAATTTGTACGCGGCTGTCTTCCGTCCATTTTGCTTTAGCATGCGAAATGGGCCCTAAGAGACTTGCATCACTTTCACATGCACATTGCAATTTCCTTCCCTCTTTCTGGGAGCCCAAATTGTCAATTCAACGGTCGACACATAACGAACTTCGTAGTCGCTAATGAGCATCATTGCTATACCTTGCGCCGTGACGAACGGGAGCGGACTGACCAAGTCCATCTCACGAAGCATAGAACTCATATTGATTACGCAAGACTTGAAGAATTGACGTATCTCCTTTGTAACTTGACCTCAATTCCATCTTTGTTTCTCTCTATTCACTTAGAAACGTAGTCTAAGTAAGTCGGTCTTTATGGTGGAAAAATGAAGGATCTCTCTAGAAGTAGATGGCCGCCCTGTTTTAGGCCATGCCTTGTTTTTTCTTTTTTCTTTTTTGGTCAAAAGAGATTTCTATTCGTTACCAAAATGATACATAAAACGATTCATAGGAAATCTCAAAAGTTACCATAACAAGACATGCCTGTAAAACTCCAAAACAAACCAAAACCTAGAAATCAAAGTACATCATTAAAGCATGGTTGACACAGATAATCACACGCTCGTTCCTCAAGAACATATCTGCTGCTGCATCCAGGCGAAATGATCGGCGATCGATCACCGAATCACACATCTTCATCAGTGATGAGCATACGCTAGGATCTCCATCTGTAGTTACGATTTTTCCTTTCGATGGTGTGCGGCCAAGGTTCGGCGTCCCCAACACCATGACCGTACGAAGACAACATAAACATGTTGAACAAGCTTAGATCTAACACCTATGAGAACAAGTCCTTTAGCAAGTGCGAGACTCCGAAACTTTTAACAAAAACACGTTAAATGAGCACAAATTTGACACCAAAGCTGCTGTGAACGCCATTGAAACTGGAGACGGAATATTTATTCATTACAACTCCTAAATCTAAAATTAGATAGGAGAGAAAAGCTCCCAGATCTAATATCGGGAGAGCAAAACTCCCAAATCTAAAAATAGATCGAGAGAGCAAGAAAAGAAAAAAAAGAAATTAAAGGAAAAAACAACGAGGGAGGGGAGGGGAGGGAGAGATCTAGGTCAAATCCCTCCCCTCCAGAAGTTGAAGAGACGAAGAACGGACAAAACGCAAGAGAGAGAATGGGGGGGAGGGAGAGAAGACCCTAGCCCGTTTTTCTTCAAGTGGTATCAAGTTGGGCCATGCCTTGTTTGACCAGAAAGGAATGTGTCACGCAATGGGAACGTTGAAGGATACCACGTGAGTCCCATATGCCACGTCTTTAACTGATATCGGGTGCCCACTAATCATGATTTATCTTCACGCTTAATAGCGTGCTTAGCTAATTTTGCGATTTCGAAAACCGTCTATGTCATACACGTATAGGCAATATCGATTAATGACGTGATATGATTGATTGAATGCATTGAATTAATATTCATGAGCTTTTACTTTAATATTTAGGATGATAAAAAAAAAACTGGGGGTCCTTCTTGTCATTTTTAGTAGTTAATATTTGCCTAACCTAGATACTTCTGGCACAACCTATAACCAAGGTCATCAAATTGTGAGCGACGAGTACGGCAATGAGAATATATAGATTTTGCCCACCTCAAGCCTCATTAATGCACAAGAAAGTTGAGCTCAAGACCACTCTAAACACAGTTGATTAAGGCAGAGGACTTAGACTGATTAAACCCATGAGCTCAATTTTGTAGAGGAACAAGAGGGCTGGGTTAAATCAAAGATCCACGTTTAGGGAAATGGGGAAAAGTAACATCTTTCTGGGTGTCCTAAGCTCGCAAGTGTCGCCATCAGATACACCAAACTTTGACCCTCAGGTTCCGTCAAACTACAAGAGCATGGAAAAAGGGAAGCAGAAGGAGATTGATTTTGATCCATGTGTTGATTCAAACTTCTCTGGAAGACCCGCCGAGATTGAAGTTCCACATGGTGGCAGAGGCCCCCATCCGCCATTGATGGCGGAGCCTTAAGGGGCATTGCCACCGATGGAACATGCAGTCCCAACAAAATTAAAGATGACATATTGACATCTATGGACATTAAGTCTACCGTGTAGATGGGATGAAGCTGATCTCTTTTTGCATGTTAGATATACTCATTTTTGTGAATAATTTGAAGATTATCAACTTGAGTTTCCGTTTCGTTGCAAGCTTTGTTAGTGTGTAACTTGATAGGAGACGGACTCTCTTTGTAGATAAGCACTATGTTGATTTCGAACCAAAGTTCGCATTAATGAACATACAAATTCGAATATAATTACGAATGGCTCCATTTTGTTTCGCGAAAAATGAATAATTTGAAAATCAATTTCCTAAAAAATGATCGCTTGTATTTCTTACAGAAATGAACGAACGAAAAAACTTTCATCGTCCACGAAAATATTTAGACATGAATTATTGTCGATAATAAAAATATTTCTCGTTGACCAATTATTATTAGCGATACAAGCGATCATTTTTTAAAAAATATTTTTCAAATTGTTCATTTTCCGCGAAAAAAACGAAACCTTAACTTTGAAATTGGAATAATAATAAATAAATAAAAAATTACATGTGAAGGTTATTTATCTACTTGTCTATCTATTTATATTTACTCAATATTTATCGATCTGTTCATGCATAATAGAAGAGAAAAAGAGGATCTTTTCTGGGTTTGGGGAAGTGAATCTTCTTATCTTGCCAAATTGCCTTTGAAGATTATGATGGCGGAAGTGTGAGACAAAATGGGATTTCCCCTTCAAACACGTACCGTAATATCGTTTGACGAAGTCTAGCAAATATGGATCTAAAATGGAGTTCGTATCTGTCACTTTTTTGCTTGTCTCCTTCACACATTGAAAGTTCATGCTAAGTCTACCCATCTACACGCACGTCAACAGTTCCATTGACACCCCTATAAATGGCCTGGCCGCTCGCATTTGTTAGGCACTACTCGAAAACATTGAGAAAGAGTTCAATAAGCCTCCTCTCTAGCTCTCCCCACTCTCACCTTCTCTTCCTCTCGGAGCTTTGAATTCAGAAAACAATGGCTTCCAGCTTCTGCAACCTCGCGCTCCTCGGTCTCGCCATTGCATTCTGCGTTCAAGGAACCCTAGGTACTTGTATGCGTCGTGTTATCTTGAAAAGTGTTGATGTCTTTTCATGCATCTTGATATATATATGTTGGTGAGTCATTTGCAGGAGATATTGCATGCGAGAATCTTGACCACGGGTCGTGCGCGTTCGCCGTGTCGTCCACGGGCAAGCGGTGCGTGCTCGAGAAGCAGGTGAGGAGAAGCGGGGAGGAAGCGTACACGTGCCGGTCCTCAGAGATCGAGGCCGACAATCTGAAGGACTATATCGAGACCGACGAGTGCATCGCCGCGTGCGGGCTCGACCGGAAGACTCTTGGGGTCTCCTCGGATTCGCTCCTCGAGTCTCACTTCACCCAAAAGCTCTGCTCCTCCGGGTGCTACGAGAACTGCCCCAACATTGTCGATCTCTACTTCAGTCTCGCCGCCGGCGAAGGTAATTACATCAACTACGTTCCCTCGTCAATAAACCAAACCACTCGTAGTCGTAGCATCCGCTTGAAAAAGAAACGTAAAGTATTACAAGCTTGTCCAATATCTTAATCCCTCACTTAACAGTTTAGAAGAGCAGATTGGATTCGCGGATTAAAGAACAGAATCTTCATCTTAAGAATTGATTTCAATAGAGATTGTACATGGTAATCCTTTAATTTTCCGATAAGTATGCCTTTTGATTCAACTGCGCGCGTAAAATTTCTTTGTGCAGGTGTGTTTCTTCCCAAACTATGCGAGGCACAAAGAGGGATTGCGCGCAGAGGAATGGCAGAGATCCGAAGCTCCGGCGACGTGGCTCCAGGACCAATTCAACCTGTCAAGTTCATAGGTGTCGCCCCCGCGATGGCGCCTTCTTACTAATCGCTTCGCTTCATTCTCCAAAGCATATCTCTGCAGAAGTTATGTCAATAGAATAGGCTATACGGGTTTGTTTTGATTTCATTATACTCCTCGACCGATGGTTGCCGGGCCTGCACGCTTCGCCGTTGCGTCGTGTACGTGCAGACGTGCATTGGTATACTTAAACGATGTATGCACAAAGCATTTTCGATTGAAGCTCAAACATATAGATATCTGCAATAAGGTGCTCTATAGGAGCATCAAAGTTTATGTATTGTTTCGAGTTGTGTGGTGCCTTTGGTTCAAGTTTAGTTCGTTGTCCATGGATTTTGGAAATGAATAAGGATCTGTAACGCGTATTCTGCATATTTAAAGTTGTAAAATGAGCAGAATTCTATCATATCGCTTATAAAAAAGTACATTTTTTTTTTCCATCTTGGTAATTCTAATAAGTATTGACAAATATCAACAAAATTGTTGGTTAAAAAAAATGATGGGTGAATTTTTTTTAGGTGAATTGTTGGTAAGTTATTAATAATTTTATGAAATTACTAATTTATTATGATAGTTTGCAATTAGTAATTTTGTACAAACCGACCAATTTTTAATCGCATAGCTTACCAATGTTTCCATTTTACTAGCTCTTTTATGAAATGATGATCCGAAACTAGAGCGATTAACCAACTTTTGTCAGGTTAAATTACCTATTATTCATCGGTCACGAACTCTCGTATGAGTTACCGGACAACTTTTAATTCAGCTATTCCTTTTGAGTTATCAACTTTTATTTGTCTTGGTCAATTACCCCTTACAATTATTAACTCTGAATTACCGTGACTCGTTAACTTTTCTCCCATTAATCTGATAGTTTCTCCTATGTTTTTTTAGGAGAAGGCTTTTGCAAATATGGTACAAGATGGGAAAAATTGATAATTTGCATAGTACTAAAAAAAAGAGTTGATAATTTCATAAAAAGTGTTGGTAAATTACCAATAAGCTATTAAGAAATTAGGTGACCTTTTAGCAACAATTCACTAAATAAAGGTTTTTTTTTCCTAGAGCAAAACAATAAAATCGTCCGATGGGATGAGATGAGATCCAATAAGAACAATAAAATTGCGGGTTCCCTGGGTCATAAAAAAAAAACGTCCGATGGGATGAGATGAGATCCAATAAGAACAATAAAATTTTTAAAGAAGTTCTTTCTTTATTCATTTATCTAGGTATAAAGTATGAATAATGGAAGATTATTCTATGGTTTGAAAATGCTTACATCATCGGAAGTAACCGATTTGGTTTACAGTTCGTTAATCAAGGATAGCCGGGGCATAACCCGCCGCAATACATCAAGCAGACATCCTTGCTGAGGTTTCCACACTGCTTTTTCGAGTGAATGCACTTTTCGTAACATCGCAACTTTGGCATTACATATGTTACATACGAAGGGTATTCCGAAGCTTCCGCACAGCTATCATTGTCCCAGCAATCCTTCGTGACGCCAAGAACCATCGACGCCATCGAAGATAGTACACAGGCGCAATCAGCATCAGTACCACAGCTCGTTTATCAGCCATCCCAACCACCTGCAATGTGATGTTAAAGCCAAAGCATGTTATATACCAACCATGCCGAAATTATATCTGTCCTCATCAAATGAAGCTTTGCGTGTGTGGGGTCTAAGCTGATATTTTCTCTAGTAATGAATGACGAGCTCAGGTTAATTGATCATACTTTGTACTAGAAAAAACATTCTTGATGTAAGTTGATGTACACAACGTGTGCAGAAATGCTGAATCGTGCCCCTATAGTCGTAGCTGTTCTTCTCTGTTCTCAGATTTGTAATGGGGTTACAAGCTTATTACATAATCTCTAGTAGTGCCAGTGAAAGAGAGGTGCTCCGAAGCGGTTGAGGACTGGCTCCGACACGGTTGCCCCGATCTGTGCCGCCTCCATCCCCGACGACGAACTGTGTTGCTGCTACCTTCTCGAGCGAGGCCTGCTGTTGCTGCGCAGAGCGTCGACTCAGCCACTCCGCCCTGCATCAAAAGCCTGATCACAACAACTTTGCTGTCGATCCTCCCAGAAATTGGTGGCTGTTTGCTGTGGGACTTTGGATTTCTAGGTTGCTGAGTTGTTGAATTTCTGGGGATGCTGAGTTGCTGTTCGCTGAAGGTGATGTCCACGAGCAACAGAACAGAGAATGCATACTAGGTGTTCGACAAAATTCCTCAAAGAAGGAATGTTGCCACCTGACTTGCGAAGTGCAACCTTCCTCGGGCGTGCGTCTCCAGGACCACGACCAAACTCCTCCAACTCCACGACCTGTCACTGCTCCTCTGCCACGAGTTTGATGCCGGCTCCGGCGCTGTTGCCCCAGTCTATGCTGCTCTGGATTGCTAGAGGTGATGTCCAGTGGTCAACAAAATTCCTCAAAGAAGGGAAATTGTCCTTTAGCTGTGGCTGGACTGGTTGGTTGGTTCTAGTCGTGATCCATGGTTCAGGCCCTTGAACGCGTCGACCCAGACGCCTCTCCCACGAGGATTCGACGCACCTCCTCTCTAAAAATATTGCTCCATCGCGATGGTCCAAACTCGTAGCAGACAAATCTAGTGTTCGAAAACCTCAATATCCAAGAAGTTGAAGAACCCAAGCTACTTCAGCTGAGATTAAAAGCAGCCTTTTCAAATCTTTAAAGGAGAAAGAGGTTGAGACTTTGAACTCAATTGCTCCGAAAACTTGTTCCAACTGTGCCAATATAGTTCAAAATTGTAATCTTAATGCTGGATGTGGCTGTGGTAATCTCGATTGTAATTTGGCTATTGATATCGGTGGTGTTAAGCCGGCTTCTATGAGTCCAAATTGTGTTGCTGAACCCGAAGTTGAAGCCTCCATTAAGGAAGATGGTATTATGTGCAATAGTAGCATGACTGGATCCATCTTTGCTAAGTCACTTCCTAGCCAAGATCCACCTTCACCGAACCTTGCTGCTGCCCCAAATCCATCTTGGAAAAGTATTACCATGGTTAAGATCTCCCAAACAGCAAATTGGATTTCATCCCTCCAAACAAACACGGCCAATAAGCTTGGTGCTCCCTCCTCCCCCCCCCCGGAGATTATTGAAGAAGGAAAGGCACACTTTGAGAACTGTCTTGTTGGTCACTTTCTCATTGGTAATGTCTCATTTTACCGGTTGAGAGGTATCGTTGAAAAACTCTAGGGCAAAGAAAATCTTTTAAAAGCTTGGCTACGGAAGACGGTTTTTTCTTTTTCCGATTCTCTAACGTCCAAAAGCTAGTCGAGGTTATGGAGGTGGGGATATGGGACATAGCTGGCAAACCATTATTTTTACAGAAATGGCATCCCCAAATCAGACTGGAAAAGGCAAAGATTACTTCCATGCCAATTTGGGTACGTCTCTATAATATACCCCATGTCCTGTGGACCAAAACCGGTCTAAGCTATGTGTGCAGCTTTCTTGGTAGACCTTTGTACATGGATAAGGCTACCGAGGAAAAACGACGACTAACATTTGCTCATGTATGCATTCTCATGGACTTTGATAGCTCATTCCCGGACAATTTTGATCTTGATAAGGGAAACGAGGAAACCTTTGGGATTACTGTTGATTATAGCTGGATTCCGCTAAAATGCAAAAAATGTAACTGCTTTGGTCATAAGGATTGCAATGTGCCGAACAAGACAATATGGGTTCCTAAATCCCAATTGGTGGCAAGACCACCGGGAAATAATGCTTCTATTGCTCCCATCCCACCTGGAACGATTACCAAAGTGCTGTCAAATAAAAATTCCTCGGCCATACTATCGAAAGCTCTGCTCCTATCAACGATCTTGGTATTTCCATGGTCAATCACCGAAGAATCTTGTTCGTGATGCTTCACGGTCAGGTTTTTCCTATACAAATGTCAAACATGGTGGAAGTCAGGAGTTAGGCTCCATTAAAAAAAGTAGAGATACTTTCAATTCTTTGAATCTATCTCCAAATAGATTTGCGTTATTGGACGAGGGCGATCATTCTGCTATTTCTGATTGGCCCCTTGCTCTACTTGGGGATGTGGGGAGTGGAGCGGAACCCCCTGACCAATGAATATCCTCTCATGGAACGTACGGGGCCTTAACAGTAGCCCCAAACAAAAGGAAATTGTAGATTTTGCTTTATCTCAAGACCCTTCTATTCTTATTTTGATTGAGCATAAAATAAAAGAGGGACATGCGGAATTTGTCATCAATAGTAAGTTTCGAGGCTGGAAATTTATCCATAACTATCAGAACAGCAGTTTGGATAGAATATGGGTATTATGGAAACCGTCTATTTTAAACTTGACTATGATGGAAGGTTCGGCTCAAGTCATTCACTGCCTTGTTGAAAAACCAAGAGATGACTCATTTCTCCTATCTGCAGTTTATGGAGGCAATTCTAAAACTGAAAGGAGATCCCTATGGCATAATGTTAATACATTCTCCACTGGTAATACAGGAAATATGCCTTGGTTACTTATAGGTGATTTCAATGAAACGAGAGATACAATTGAACGGATCGGATCTAATACCCAATAGACTTCTGGAATGGATGAGCTAAACACAATGATTGAGGAGCTAGCGCTGATTGAGCCTAATTCCACAGGCCCATTTTTCACATGGACAAATAAAAGGTCCAATGATGATCTTAGAGCAAGCAAGATTGACAGGGTCTTCATTAATGCAAATTGGCAGAACAGGTACTCTCATTATTCGGTAGAATTTTTACTACCGGGTGTTTCAGATCATTCTCCATGCCTAGTGCGTCTTAACACCACTAATAGGAGAAGGAAGCCCTCTTTTAAATTCTTCAATTTCTGGACTAAAAGTCCCGATTTTCTACCGATTGTCTACACTGGCTGGCAACTGGATTTTAGAGGATCCAAAATGTTTATTCTAGTGAACAAGCTCAAAGCATTGAAACAAAAACTCAATCACTTGAATAAATCTCAATTTGGTGACCTATGTCGTAAGGTCAAAGATGCTAGAGCGAATCTACAGCGAATACAACGAGATCTTGCATTGGACCTGTACAACATAAACACCCGGGATGAAGAAAAGGCACAATTGGAGCAACTATTGACCCATAGCAAACATGAAGAAGTCCTCCTAAAGCAAAAATCTAGAAATCTATGGTTGAAGGAGGGGGACAACAACAGCAGGATTTTCTTTGCCTCCATGATGCATAGAAGTGCTCAGAACAGAATTAACCAGCTCTCACTCGATGATGGCACTACTATAATAGATGAGGGATGAGGGAGTTCTTAGGGATGCAATTGTATCTTATTATCATCGCGTACTTGGTAGCTCTAGGCACACTCATTTCCCTTACGAACGGTTTGCTTCC